AACAGCAACAACAGGGACAGCAGCAGCAGCAGCAACAGCAGCAGCAAGAACAACAGCGAGAGCAACAGCAGGAAATTATCAAGTCTCTCTCTGACACCTTCGGGAAGGGCCGCACAGCAGCAAGAACAGCAGTGGCACTTGCTGCGCCTGCTGCTGCTTCCCCTGCAGCAGCAGAAGCAAGTTGTGCTGCTGCTGTTGCCACTCCTGCGGCTGCTGCAGCTGCTCAGCTGCTGGAAAGCGGGTTCCTCTCCCTTCAAGTAGCTGCTCCCCAGTGGCGCAACAGCTGCAGCAAATGCTTGGGCAACGGTTTGCTGTCTGCTGCTGCTGCTGCTGCTGCTGCTGCTGCTGCTGCATCGGCTGGCCCGCGGCGACAGCTGCGGCCTCGAGCAGCAGAGGAGAAAGCAATCCGTTTGCTGCAGCAAATCAAGTCTCTTGGAAGTCCTCTGTTCTTTATTGCAGCTGCGCAGCAGCGGCTTGCTGCGCTGCTGCAGCTAATGGGGACTTCACTTGGCCTTCGCGGGCCGCCCCCTACTGTTGCTGCTGCTGCAGCAAACCACGAATTCCCCAGCGAAGCAGTGGCAGCAGCAGATGCAGCAGCAGCAGCAGCAGCAGCAGCAGCAGCAGCATTGAACAAAGAGGATGCAGCTGAGTGTTGGCTGCTGCTGCGCGAACTGGAAAGCTCAGCAGCAGCAGCAGCAGCAACACTTGAGCATGCGCAGGCGCTGGCCCTTTCCCTTTCCGACTCTGTAGTATCTTTATTTGGGGCTTTACAGGAAGACACAGCAGCTGAGCTGCCGACTGCAGGAGCAGCAGCTGCAGCAGCAGCAGCAGCAGCAGCAGAAAGTGCAGAAGCGCCGCTTTACCTTGGAATGGTAGGAACGTCTAGAGCTCCAGCAGCAGCAGCAGCAGCAACAGCAGCGGCAGCGGCGCCAACAGCAGCAACAGCTGCTGCAGTTGATCCATCGTCGGTGGGAACAAGAACAGCGCCACCAGCAGCGGCAGCAACGGCGCCACCGTTCGCAGCAACAGCAGCAACAGCAGCAACAGCAGCAACAGCAGCAACAGCAGCAGCTGCTGCATCTCGGGGAGACGTCGGAAGCCATGCAAGGAAGCCCGTGGGTCCCAACGGACTCAGGCGTGGCTCCTGCAGAATCGCTGCAGCAGCCATGCGCAGCTGCTCTCAGGGTGCAGCAGGAGCAGCAGCTGCAGCAGCTGCAGCAGCTGCAGCAGCTGCAGCAGCTGCAGCAGCAGCTGCACCCACCCCTGCTGCTGCCTCAGCAGCAGCAGCAGCAGAAGCGGCAGCCCATGAGTCCGAAAGCCCTGCAACTAAGGGCCCCCAAGATGCACTTCAAAGTCCAAAGATGGCAGGGGGGCCCCCGGGGTTTGGGGGGCCCCCAGATCTCGAAGAGTTCCGCATTATAGAAGAAGAAGCAGCAAATGAAAAGAAAGAAAACAAAGAAATAAAATGCAAAAGTTCAAAAGCCAACAATGAGGCATCTTGCGTTCCAAGTGTACCGACAGCAGCAAACAGGAGCCACGGGCCACAGCAGCAAACAGTGCAGCAGACGCCCCATTTGCTGCTGCAAAGAAAACAGCAAACGCAAAGGCAGCAGCAGCAGCAGCAGCAGCAGCAGCAGCAGCGGCAGCCGTACATGCAGCGGCAGCATATGCAACAGCAACGCGTGCAACTGAAGCAACAGCTACTGCACCAGCAGTCCTGTCAGCAGTTGCTGCAGCAGCAGCAGCAGCAGCTGCTGCACCAAAAGAGGCTGCAGCAGCAACTGCAGCAGCAACTTCGCCCTTACAGAAACCAGCAGCAGCAGCAGCAGCGCCAAATTCAACAACAAGTGCAGCAGCAGACACAGCCGCTACAGGCGCAGCAGCAACAGCAGCTCCACCACTGCCGGCAGCAGCAGCAGGAACACCAACGGTCAGGGGCCATTCGCAGCAAATCAAGTGCAAACGCAGCAGCCACAGCAGCAGCAGGTAATGCAGCAGCAGCACAAGCAGCAGCAGCAGCAGCAGCAGCAGCAGCAGTTCAAGGACCCCCCTATTCACATTTTGTCTGCCCTCAAGAGTTTGATGCTGTGAGAAGAGATTTATGCCACACAACAATGGAGTTTAGAAAAGCATCCGCTGCTGCTACTGCTGGAGAGCAGCAGCAACAGCAGCAACAGCAGCATCAACAGCAGCAAATGTTTCAGCAGCAGCAGCAGCTGCAGCTGCAGCAGCAGCAGCTTCGTGAAGCAGCTGCTGTCACGCAGCAGCAGCAGCAGCTGCGGAATAGCTGCATCTTTTCTCAGCAGCAGAAACCGCAGCAACTGCAGCAGCGGCAGCTGCTGCAGCAGCAGCTACAGAAGCAGGTGCCAGGGCGACCTCATTATCGCCCCCAGCAAACCTATTCCCAGGCCCAAACTCATCACCAGCAGCAGCAGCAACAGCAGCAGCAGCAGCAACAGCAGCAGCAGCAGCAGCAGCAGCAGCAGCAGCCCACTACTCTTAACTGCAGCATCACGCAGGCAAACACAATTGCTTCGATGAAACCAAGGCAAGGAGCTCTCTGCAGAATTTACTTCACACAAAACAACGCAACAACGGGGGCATCTGCTGCAGCAGGTGCGCCTGCTGCAGCTTTCCCGGCAGCAGCAGCAGCAGCTGCTGCTGCTGCAGGCACTCTTGCTGATACTCCTGCATTTGCTGCTGCTGCAGCTTCTCCTGTCTTTGTGGCGCCGCAGCAGCCAGAGGCTGGCAGAGGCCGGGCTGCTGCTGCGCTGCTGCGGGCTTACAGTGCCCCCCGCGTACAGGCACTGCAGCAGCAGCAGCTGCAGCAGCAGCAGCAGCAGCTGCTGCTTGGCTTAGGAGGCCACGCCATTAGCAGCAGCAAACTAAATCACGGAGAAGTGAACAATTTCCAGGCACAAAATGCAGCCTGTGCTGCAGTTGGTGGGGTGTACGTACACCGGAGAGCCACCAGCTGCTCTGCTGCTGCTGCTGCTGCTGCTGCTGCTGGTGCTGCTCCCGCCTCTGCCTCCCCCCCTGCCTTATTCAAATGTTCAGAGGGGCCTTTGCGCTTGACTTTTGAGGACTCGTTTTGACTTGCAAAAGGAGACAGTTCTGCTGCTGTTGCTGCTGCTGCTGCTGCAGCAGCAGCTGAGTGTTCAGTTACGAGACAAGTGCATCAGCTGCATGTGTATAGGCACTTGTTTGCACTGCAGCAGCAGCAGCAGCTGCTGCTGCTACTGGATCAGTCACTGAAGAAGCACTAAGAGTATGAAGAACTGCAAATATAAACAAAGTAATTTATTTATATAAATTGCGCTGTCAGTTCATTTTTATTTATTTTGAATTCTCTATTCCGCAGGCTGCGCTCCGCTGCAGTCTGCATGCACTCTGCTCTTTGCTGCGCCTCTCCTTCTCTGCCTCACTTGTGCATTTCTTTGCATTTACTGAAATATATAAATTAAAAAGAAATGCAGAATTATTTGCATGCATGCAGAGGACTTCAACGCGCATGCACTGCATGCGCGGAGAGTGCACATTCACATTTTATGAATGCACACACAAGCACTTGTGCAGACTTTTATCATTTAAACCTTCAACTCCAACACAAAAAAGCCAAATTATTAAATTAATAAAAGATTCTCCAGCTCACTTCTACTGAGGACTCCATTTGTGGTTCCTCTGAGCTGCTTTCTTTCATGTGTCAGTGTGCACATTTGCAGCCTCAGCTTCTAGCAGCTTCTTTGTCAGAAATGAATGCGATTTGCAGTATTTATGAATCAAAACGATTTAATATTTTAATATAAAATAAAATAAAAGATTTAGATGAAAGAAAGGCCTCTTAACTCTTTTATTTCCCGCGTTTTTGCCCCCATCTGCATGCTCGAGTTGCACTTCATGAAACATTTTGTTGCCAAACACTTTCCATTTCAAGTTTACGAAAGAACTGAACCCTTTTTGGGTTTTCTGAACTTTTTTGAGTTGAGTTTGTTTTATTTGTTTTATTTAATTCACTTGGACTTCCTCCAACTGAGTTCATGCACAGTGGAAACTCCTTGCAAAGTGCAGCGGCCTTTCTGGATCTTTGCCGTTTATTTGAAATATTAAAGTATATTTTCTGCTTATTATTCTGCATATAAATATTAAAATATATTTTCTGCATATTATTCTGCACATTATAAGTTCAAGTTTCTTCTGAGTTGGCCAGTTGGAGTTTGAGTGGAAAAAGAAAGCTTTCGAGCTGCTGGCGGCGAAACCCAGAAGATGAATTCAAATACTTGACTGAGCCCTCGAGTGCATTAAAAGGGTCTTCAAATATATTTATTTGGAGCTAATTTGAAGGACATTCAACTAAACTTCTGAAAGGCTCTTTTGGCCTCATTTAATTTCTACTTTTACTTCACAAATTCCTTCGGAGTCGGCCTAAGACTTCGGGCCGCCTCGAGCCACCGTGGTGGTCCACGGAGCCAATCAACAGGTATCGAAGTTGAATATCTGTCGAATCTGCGTCGAAATAAATAAAAAGATCGGCGCAAATGAATTTAGGATTAAATTAATTGATTGGATTTGCATTCTGGGTTTCGTTTTGGTTCTGCGGACTCGCGGGCAGCAGCTCGCCGCTGGGTTTCCGGACTTTTAAGTGGAGGCGGCTGGCGCGTCGGCTGCGGGACTTCTGCAGTTTTTTCTTTTCCCAAATGTTCGAAAGCGAATAAAAAGACGAATAAAGTTTGTTTTTGTCGTTTGGGAGTGGGAGGCAGCGGCGAGAGGCAGCTGCAGCAGCAGCAGCAGCAGCAGCGGCTCTCTGTCTGTGTGGCTTGCTGGTGGCCTGCGGTCGGCGGCGCGGCTGGCTGCGGCGAGTCGGCGGCGCCGCACTTGAAATAAGTGAAAGATCATTTTAATTTTTGCAAAAGTAAAAAGTTTTGCTTTTTGGAATTCGTTAAGGCGTTGAGTTCGCCGTTGCAGAGGCTGCGGAGTCGCGCTGGCTCGCCAGACACCTGAAGATGAGTTCTCAGAAGCCGGCGGTGGCGGAGTTCGCGGGCTGTTTGGCGCTGCTGCTGATCTCGGGCTTGCTGCCGCTTTTAAAGCTGCAGTATTTGGATTTTCCAGCATCTTTGGCGCTGACTTACGGGCTGTTGCTGCTGGGAATGCGCGGGCTGGAGGCGCGGACGCTGAACCCCGCGCTGGCGCTCGCGGACATCTTCCAGGGTCACCTCGAGCCCACCGCCGGCCTCCTGCTGATCCTGGCCCAGTTTGCTGGCGCTGCAGCCGGAGCTTTTGTGCTTTCCGGGCTTTGTGGGTCTTCAGAGGCCTTTCCGGGGGCCGCAGGCGCGGCGCCGGCGGGCCAGCTGCTGGCCGTGCAGCTGGTCTGCGGCGCCGCGCTGGCCTTCGCCCACCTCCGGGGGGCCCCCAGCAGCAGCAAGTGGGGGGGCCCCTGGCTGGGGGCCCTCCTGTACGGGAGTTTCGCGTTGGGGGGCCCCTCGGCGGCCTTTCTGAACCCCGCAGTGGCCCTGGGGGTGAACGTGGCCCGCGGGGTCTCGGGGGCCCCCACGGACGAGGCCCTGCTGGCCGCGCTGGTCTTGGGGCCCCTCCTGGCTGCGGGCCTTTCTTGTTTGCTGCTGCGGGCCTCGGAGGGGAGTCTGGAGGTCTCGGAGTTGGTGGGCACTTTCTTCCTCAGCTGCGGGCTGCTTGCTGCAGCAGCAAAGGGGGGGCCCGCTGCTGCAGCAGGCCTCGCCTGCTTTGCTGCTGCTGTTGTCCGCATGCTGGCCCCCCTCTCTGGGGGCTCTCTCAACCCCGCAGTCTCTGCGGGGGCCCTTCTGAGTGAGGGCCGCAGCATAACTCGAGAAGTAGCTGCTGTGTGGCTGTTCCAGGCCTGCGGGGCGCTTGCTGCTGCGCTGCTGCTGCAGCTCGCGGGCAGCAGCAGCAGCAGCAGCGGCGCTGCAGCGCTCGCTGCGGGCGACTGGAAGGCCCTCGCCTGCTGCGCGGCTCTCAGTGCTCTTCTTATGATCTCTTATTGCACAAACTGGGGAGAGTTCTTCGGATCGCCGGCCGCAGCAGCAGTGGGCGGGGTGTACGGACTCTCGGTGGCTGCGGCCGGATCTGCACTCCCAGTCAACCCCGCCACTTCTTTCGGCGCTGCTTTCGCCGCTTTTTGCAAAACGGGAACTTTTCCGAACTTTCTGGAGACTTTTGCTGCAGTTTTCGTGCCAGTTTGCGGCTGCGCGGCCGGCGCGGTGCTGCTGCGCGCGCTGCCTTCGGAGTACCGCAGGCGGCTCTAGATCTGCAGCTTTCCGCGCAAAAACTCCGCCAAAAACTCTTCTTTATCCATTAAATGCCAATTGCGGCACTTTTGCTGCTTCCTGGCCTTCCCAGAGAGCCCAGGGGCCCGCGCTGCCGCTCGCTGCTGCTGCTGCTGCTGCGCGTTCAAGTTGCTGCAGCAGCGGCTTGCTGCTGCTGCGCGTTCAAGTTGCTGCAGCAGCGGCTTGCTGCTGCTGCGCGCTCTTCAGTTTGAAATTTTTTGCTGCTTTTATTTCCATTTAATTCTCTTATTTAATCGAAGACAACTTCGCCTCGCCCGGACTCCCAGCGAGTCCGCGGAAAGCAGCGGCGCTGCGGTTTTAGTTCAACTTTTTCACCTTTTTATTTTTCTTTTTTCGCAAAGTTGATCTCGTTTGTTCATTGCTTTTTAAACTTCATAATTTAGACAAACAATTCAGAAAAAGTGGCAGAAATAGAAACCGCAGTTCCTGAACTGTTCGAACGCATGCAGATCAGAGCACTGCTGCACAGACCCGCACCAAGTACGGCCACGCCAACAGCGCTGCTGCTGCTGCTGCTGCAGCAGCTGCTGCTGCTGCTGCTGCAGCTGCCGCTGCTGCTGCTGCAGCAGCTGCTGCAGCAGCAGCTGCTGCTGCTGCCTGTCAGCTCAAAGTGTAGCTAATTAGTTCAATTGCACCACACAGCAACGCCACAAGAACTGAAGCGCCGCCAGAACAGCAGCAGCAGCAGCAGCAGCAGCAGCAGCAGCAGGTTTGTTGCAACTCCAGTGAGATGGAAAGGGAATAAAGATGAAAGCTAATCAAAGATATAAACCTTCCGGAATATCTCCCTTTTTTCTGTAGAGGGCCTTTTCCTTTGCCTGTCTCAAATCGTCTTGAGTTATTTTCATTCTTCTTTCCCGCAGAGCCAACATGCCCGCCTCTGTGCAGATTGCCTGCGGACGCCGCAGCAGCAAACTCAAAATATAAACAAATAAATGCAAATTGAAAATAAAAACAAAACTGAAAATAAAACAAAATTGAAAATAAAACAAAATTGAAAATAAAAACAAAATTGAAAATAAAAACAAACACATTTAGTGGCAGCTTTCTTGCGCAGCAGCCTGAATTCGTTCATTTGCAAATCGCCAACAGCGTGCAAGTTTGCAAATTCGAAGCTATAAAGGCATTTTGGCAGAATATTCTGCAAATATTAAAATAAAATAATAAAATAACATTAATTTAACATTAATTTAACATTAATTTAGCATTAATTTGACATTAATTGCGCAGATTCACTTTAATGTCCGCCCCCGAGAGCTCGTCCTTGGCCATGACGAACTCCTCGAGGTCCACATCGTCTGCCATCGTCATTCGCGAAGTGTGGATCTGCCGAACGAACCAACAATAAAGAAATAAAAATTTAAATTTAAAAATAAAAATAAATTAAAAATAAAAATAAATTAAAAAACAAAAATAAATGCATGCAGTCACTGATTCAAGTCTGGAACGCAAGAAGGAAGCGCGCATGCAGAACCCTTGAATCTGAGTGAAACTTGGAGTATTTGCGTCGAAAAAGCGCGAAAAAAAGCGGAATTAATTAAATAAATCGAATAAAATAGAAATAAAAGAATAAAAAAGAGTAAAAGTGAAGAAAGCGGAGAAGAAAGCGCGGACTTGGAAGATTTTGCGTTTGGTTTTGGTGTCGGGATTGGGAAGTTGAATCTTGCGGTCGATCCGCCCCGGCCTTATCAACGCCGGGTCCAAACTTTCGATTCTGTTGGTCGCCAAAATCACTTTTACGTCTCCGCGCGCTTCAAAGCCGTCGAGCTGATTCAACAACTCCAACATCGTCCGCTGAATTTCCTTCTCGCCCCCGCTCGTCGCGTCGTACCTGCAATAATGCATGCATGCATGCATGCATGCATGCACTTGCATGCATGCACTTGCATGCATGCACTTGCATGCATGCAGTTGCATGCATGCAGTTGCATGCAGTTGCAGGCATGCAGTTGCATGCAGTTGCAGGCATGCAGTTGCATGCATGCAAGTGCATGCAAGTGTGCATGCATGCATGCATGCAGTTGCATGTAAGTGTGCATGCATGGAAGTGTGCATGCATGGGAGTGCATGCATGCAAATGCATCTATTTATTTATTTATTTATTTATTTATTTATTTATTTATTTATTTATTTATTTATTTATTTATTTGTTGTTTGTTTGCACCTCTTGGTGCCCACGGCGTCGATCTCGTCTATGAAGACAATGGAAGGGGCGTTTTCTTTGGCGAGTTTGAACATCTCGCGAACCAGTTTGGGCCCATCTCCCAAATACTTTTGAATTAATTCACTTCCAACAACTCTCAAGAAAGTCGCGCTGGTTTCGTTCGCCACGGCCTTCGCCAGCAGAGTTTTCCCTGAAAGTCGCAGCAAAACGCAGCTCCACACGAGCCCTCCTGCTGCTGCTGCTGCTGCTGCTGCTGCTGCTGCTGCTGCTGCTGCTGCTGGGGCGCGCGGGAAGCCCGCAGCAGCGGCACAGAACGAGAACGCGCCGGGATGGCAGCAAGAAGTGCAGCAGCGGAAGCAGCAGCAGCAGCAGCAAGGCAGCAGCAGCAGCAGCAGGAATGGCAGCAGCCACAAACGGCGCAGAAGCAAAAGAAACCACTAAATCCAAAGCCAAAAATAATTAAATGCTGCAAAATAAAAACAGAAGAAAAGAAAGAAAGTTGAGGCAGCAAATAGTGCAGCAGCTGCTGCAGCAGCAAACCAGCTGCGCAAGGCCACCAGCGAAGCTCCCCCGTTTTGCCCAACTGTTTGGCAGCAAAGGGATCCACAGGCAGCCAAAAAGCTCACAAAAAAGAAAAGAAGTTTGCGAAATATTTAATTAATTAATTTATTTGATTTATTTCATCTAAACTGCTCACCTGTGCCTGGCGGCCCGTACAGAATGACGCCTTTGGGCGGCGCTATGCCGATGTCTTCGAAGAATTCCGGGTGAGTCAGCGGGAATTCAACAGCTTCTTTGACTTCCTGGAGGAATTCAAACACTCCCAAATGTGAAAAAGTCCTCATAAATTCAATATTCAAAAGAAATGGCATTCATAAATGTGAAATAGTCCTCATAATTCCAAAGTTCAAATTCATTTAGGTGTGCGTACACCGCAACTCACACCCCAGCATGCGCATCCCACGAAAGCTCTCGGCTGCTGCTGCTGCTTCTCAGATTTAAAAAGTGAAATATGATTTAAAACAAATAAAATTAAATAAAATAAATGAAATAAATAAAAGAAAATAATAAAACAAACAAAAGGAGAACAAAAAACACGAAAAAATGGCGAACTTTCGCCGCTGCCGGTTTGCTTCTTTGCTGCTTCCGCTTGCGACTTTTCGGCTTTTCGCCGCGAAAAAAGAGGCCCCAGCATTAAATTGAAGGCTTTTTAAATTTAAAGTGAAAATAAAGGAAATAAATGCAAAAAAAAAGCAAAAAGTGCCGCAAATTGCAAACATTTCGACAACTTCTGCACCTGGATTTGCTTCTCCAGCCCGCCGATATCCCCGTAGGTTTCCAGCGGCGCCTTCTCCACTTTCATCACCGAAATCAGCGGGTCCACTTCGTCGCTCAAAATGCCCACAATGCTGCTCGTCTGAACAAAAAAAGTGCATTTAAAAAGAACAAAAGTGCAAAAAAAGAAACAAAAAAGCGAACAATTGAAGAAAATGCAAACAAATAAACAAAAACGCGCAAAAAATAAACAAAAATGAGCAAAAAATAAACAAAAATAAACAAAAAATAAACAAAAATAAACAAAAAATAAACAAAAATAAACAAAAATAAAAACAAAAATGCAAAACACTCATATGCAGCCTTGCCGGCCCCTTCACTCTGCTGGAACAGCCGCAGCAAATAAACAGCGGCCAGCCACCCTCCCCACAAGGCGGCAGCAGCAGCAGCAGCAGCAGCAGCAGCAATATCCAGCAGCAGCAGCAGCAGCAGTATCCAGCAGCAGCAGCAGCAGTATCCAGCAGCAGCATCACCATCCAGCACCAGCAGCACCAGCCCAACAGCAGCAGCAGCAGCAGCAGCACAGCAGCAGCACAACACCCGCAGCAGCAGCAGCACAGCAGCAGCAGCAGCAGCAGCAGCAGCAGCAGCAGCACCTTGTTGTGGAGAAGGACGGAGCAGCCGGGTTCGAGGAGGTCTTTGTCGACAAAAGACAAAATGTTGACATAATATTCTGGACCGATGGAAGAACTGACAATGGCGTGTTGGTCGTCTATGAGTTCTTCGAGTGTACCGACACTCAACGGAGAGCCCCGCAGCTCGTCCACACGCGACACTTCCTCCTGAGACGCAGGGTTTAGGGTTTAGGGTTTAGGGTTTAGGGTTTGGGGTTTGCGGTTTGGGGTTTGGGGGGGGTG